GACAAGTTCCATAATTCAACTGGAATTTTGCGTCATCAACCTATGCCTTTGTCATTGTAAGAGGTTAGCGACCCCTACCGGTGAAAAAAACAAACATATTGTATCTTTAATAATCAGGAAGACTTAATAGTTTAGTTATACTTATAATAGATAATAGATTAATTGTTGGAATACTCATTTCCACTATCTGGGTAATAGTTAAGTTTAAATCAACTGAAGATGGTAACAATCTACCTGGAAGAGGACGTGTATTGGCCCCACACGCACAATTGCGTGCAAATTGAGAAATGTTCTCTTTCAAACAAACTCCAAAGATCAGAGTTGTAGACTTGCAGATGTTAGTTGGGTGTTGGAGTCAAAAAGTCTCGGAGTCAGGGCGCTTGTCTGAAGTATAAAATCATTGGTTACCCGTAAGCCAATCACATAACGCAATCACCTCTCTCTCCAACTTAAACATCACCTCCATTAAAAATGTTTAACAAACACTCTTTTGTTCGGGCTTCAGTTTGCAAATGCCGGGAATATTCTCCACAACAGAGCGAATTGCATCCCGTATCTCCATATCCGCGGTCGTTTTCGATTTCCCTAAAATAGAATCTTAAACTCGGCGCTTAGCGTCTACGTCACGGCTCTCAGCCCGCCCTCTGTTCGTTGATTGGCCGGCTGTTTTCAGGCCGGAGGAAAACTGAGAGATAGGTCGCTATCTCAGACTGAGTACAGAAGCGAACTGAAATTGAGCGGAAGTACGAAGTCTGACGTAGTCAGGCTAGGACATAGCAGTCCCCTGACCCAAACCCCATAAAAAACCTGTGGGATGAGCTGAAGAAAAGAGTCCACAAGCATGGACTCTGGGGAGATTCTGTATGGAGGAATGGTCTCAGATGTCCATCAACCTTATATTACACACACACACATGCATGTATAAATTTGAGAAAAATGTATTATTTATTTATAAAATATTTATATTTATATATAATATAAATTATGTATAAATAAATACATATATATATATAGTATATACAGTACATGACAATATTTCTTAAATATACATGCATATGTGTGTATTTATATACAAAATAATTATACACGGTACACACACATATATTATGTAAACACAAACTTTTATTTTGGATGTGCCCAGCACTAGTAATAAGGTTGATGGACATATGCCAAGAGATCTGAGACCATTCCTCCATACAGAATCCATGAATCCAGAGGTCCTGGATTAATCGTTGCCCAGCACTTATTATGTATTATAGAAGAAGATCCAGAGCTGTTATCTTGGCAAAGGGAGGTATTTATATATATATATATATATATATAAAGTCATTTTTGGTCATATTTACCAAAGGTGTCAATATTTGTGGGGCGTGTGTGTGTGAGGTGGACGATGTCTGAGTATATAACCTGGCCACAAAAAAAAAAAAAACATTTATCTTTGTTTATGAGTGTTACTAGTTTTGAGAACATATTTTAACATACTTAACAGATTGTGATCTGTTCAAACATTAACAAAGTGTCACAAAAATAGATACAGATTTTCTATCAGAACCACCTTCTTCAATGGGAATGCACATAGCAGGTCTAGATTAGGCACCAGTCTATGTGTATGAGTGTATACGAGTGTGTGCCTGAAATCCAATGCTAATCTTGGTTCATCGTGTCCCATTGAGCTGCATGTATATGGTTTGGCAGACTCATGTCTGGTCAGCTGTCTGGACACTTGGCCTGCACACAGGCTTCAACACTGAGACACGTGGCTGTCAATGACTGCTTTATCTCACTGAGACAGCGTTGGGTGGTGACTACACGGGGGGTCTTATTGTGTGTGCGTGTGCGAGCGATTGGAAAGGGGGGATTAAACAGCTGTGGTCAAAAAATGGACAGAGGGAGGTACCAGATTGGCAGATGGATGGACTGATGATGACCATTTCTTTCTTTAAACCCCTTTCTCTTCATTTCCCTTTTCTTTCTCTGTCTGTCTTGTGGAGGTCAAATCTCTTTCAGTGTCAGTTTCAGTTTGCAGATAAGTTTGATAATGCAAACTTTTTTTACACAGGTATTTTCAGTGGAGTGCAAAAATCTGAGACCACATTGAAAGAATCTAGTTTAAAAGTGGAAATAAAGAAACTTCAGATTTTGAAAACTTCAGAAACAAATTTTATTTGTTGTTAAATGAATACATGTTTGAGATTCTAGATATCAAATTTACATGTAGTGTATCATGTGATTCTTTTTACAGACGGTCCGATGTTCTCGCTTCCATTAAAGCACACGATACTCTTTAGAACAGAACAATCTGAAAGTGATCTCAGACTTTTGGCCTCCATTTTATTTGTCATATAAACCACTATTCAGAAAGGTTTGGATTTTTTATGTTTTTGAATTCTCTTATGCTCAATCAAGCTGCATTTATTTGACTGAAAATACAGTAAAAACTGTAGTATTGTAAAATATTTTAAATGTAACTTATTGCTGTAATGGCAAAGCTGAATTTTCAGCATCATTACTCCAGTCTTCAGTGTCACACTGTCCTTCAGAAATCATTCTAATATGATCTGATTTGCTGCTCATGAAACATTTCTTATCATCAATGTTCAAAACAGTTGTGCTGCTTAATATTTTTTGTGGAAACTATGATACATTTTTTGATGAATAGAGAACAGCACTTATTTAAAATAGAAATCTTTTAAAACCTTATAAATGTCATAATGTCACTTTTAATCAGTTTATTGCTTCCTTGCTGAAAAACAGTATTAATTTATTTTACAATAATCTTAGGGACCAGATACTTTTAACAAGTGTATTATTATTTTTGATCATCTCAAAGGCAAATGGTTAACTTTAATGGCATGAGTTTGGAGTTTGGAAGGAGCATGTTAATCTCATCCTGCCAATCATTCTCGTAACAATCACACCTGCACTCTTCCTGCATCCGCCTAGACCACTTGTGAAACAAAATGTTTGTTACTGTTGGTTGTCTGAACTTTACAAAACACTAACGGCTTGTTTGCAACATCATGTTCAAACACAGATGTTTGCTGATATCCAACAATACTACAAGCGAGGAAGGAACAGGACGTCTGGTGGAAAGACCAGCAAGGCTGGTAACCGGCATTTGTTGTCAGTGATATTCGGTTAGTTTTGTATGGTAGTGATTTATCTCAAAAGAAAATACATATAATAAGATTGGCTTGATATTGTCAGATACAGCCTCAACCTCAATTAAATTTAGATAATAATAAGCGTTTCTCTCTATCTCAGGACCAGTTCCACTCTGTGCCCTTCCTGGAGTAAAACCAAAAGCCTCCTTCACCTCCTCCTTTAGCTGTGGCTTCTTGAGCTGGGACTCGGGAGCGAGTTGCTGGGAAACCAGGCATACACAGCCAAATTGCTCAGTTTTGCCAGATGTCTTGTGGAGTGAATCATGTAGCACTGGTGTCTGAACCAGCCCCACCACCTCCCCCCGCACATGCGGAGGCACGAACACATACACAGAGCTACAGCTCGAACTTCATTCGGTTCTAAGGCCCTTTCATTGTCAGTCTTAGACTTGAGCTCCAACTCTTGCCAGAGGCTGTAGTGACACAATGGAGGCTCTGTTTTTAAACCAAAAAGCATAGGGCACAGAATAAGTTCTGTCTCTCTCTTTACATACAAAGTACTCTTTTTTTTCTTTTTTTTTCTCATGAACACAAACCCACATAATCAATTAAGTTTCCTCAGCTCCCCATAGGCCTTCAAAGTGGATCCCCTGAGTCAAGGATATTGTGTTTTTTATGCTTGTGACCTTGTCTGGTGTCAAAGAGCAACTGGTCCAACAGACCAATATGTGAGTGTATGCGTATATATGTGTGTGCGTGTTTAGGCTGCATTTATTTGATATAAAAAACAGAATAAACAGCAATATTGTGCAATATTATTCAAATTTAAAATATCTGCTATTCCTGTGATTACTTCTTTAATCCAGTCTTCAGTGTCACATGATCCTTCAGAAACTGACTCAAAATGAGCCAAGAACAGTAGATCCTATAGGATCTCGAGTGCGCTCACGACTGATGCAGAATTTTACAATTTATAATTGTAAATGGAATTCATATTTAGGTCATGACTGCCGGGTCTTTTTCTTTTTTTACTTAAAGTGCGAGCTGTTTATCCCCATTGAATGAAATGCTTGAAAGTGGACATTTCCCTATTTGTGTAATACCATTTGAATGGTGTAGGTTTTAGGTAAAAACTAAACATAATTTTAAAATATGGAAATTAATGCCCATGTACCCTCTGCTGCCATGCCAGTTTCAAATGATGTAAAAACTAGTATGTTTGCATGCCATTTTCTTTTACCCTATCTGTTTCTATACTGTATGTTTATATGTCAACACACATTTACACACATTTTGTTTTTCCTCATTTTTTTATATGCTAGCTATGGTGTATCTTGTTATTTTGTAATTAAATTATCAGTAATTGTCAGTAGTAGTTATCAGTGTATGACAAGTTTTGGTAATAAAATAAAATGTTTTCTTGCAGATCAGTACTTATTAAGTGTCTGTGCTTTTATACTTTTACTCGAGTAAACTTAAAAAGGAGTACTTAGCCTAATACTTGTACTGGAGGAATATTTTATTATGGTATCTTTACTTTTGTACTCAAGTACTTGATATGTGTACTTTTTGTCCACCACTGTCATTATCAAAGTTGAAAACAGTTGTGCTACTTAATGTTATTCTGGAAAAAAAAATGTCCACAATAATTTGTATTTGAAATTGAATTTTTTTGTAGCACTATTAATGTCATTACTTGTCATTACTTTGATCAAAGTATGCTTCCTTCCTGATTACAAGTATTAGTAAAAGCAAAACAAATATATAAAGTAAAATATATACAGTATTATATTAATCAGTAATAAACTATACACTTTATAATATATATACTATTTTTTCACTAATGTACTTGTACTTCTTTAAAATATTCATCTCTCCTGTTTGTCTTATGTCTAGGTGAGGTAACTTAGACTAGCAATTACCTTCCAGCAGAAGGCCTGAGAGGAGAGCTATTGATTGGACCAAGAGGTCAGAGGGGGTCGACAGCTGCAGGAGCAGCATGGACGGGGGAAACACAGCAAATGTGATGGAGGAGGGGTGGCCTTCAGGTGAGCTTACCCTCAACAATGTAAATGAATGGTTCCTTATTCAGACCTTCGTGGATATATGAGCAGGAGTGGTTATAACTAGGAAAAATTATTAATCAAGCTTCCCTGGTGAATTAGCTGTATATAAGTCATAACGGAAGGCTTACATATACTATGCACCGAAAAAGCTACTAATCAATACTGATAGCTATAAAGATGCATCTTACCACTACAAATAACACTTCAGTAGAGTCTATATTAGATAGTGTATACTGGAAATGAAAAGCCCGTCACTGTGTTGCACTCCGAGCCATCATGTGAGTGCTGGGTTGCCCAGGTCATGTGGTGAAACGGTGAGTAATGCATGGAGGGATGTCGTCTCAACCTTCAGCCAGCCCTTCTCTCCTATTATTGGAATATTAATCCAGGGGATCTGGAAGGAAGGATGACGTCATGTGTGTGCCAGCGTCGTCCTGTGTGCTTTGCCGTGGATTCAGCTGTCATGGCTAACAGAACCATTTCTGTGATTAACGGTCTTGCCGACCCCATCAAACACCCAACCGTGCTACTTCCTGCCCAATATTCTCCCCTCCTCTCTCTCTCTCTCTCTCTCTCTCTCTCTCTCTCTCTCTCTCTCTCTCTCTCTCTCTCTCTCTCTCTCTCTCTCTCTCTCTCTCTCTCTCTCTCTCTCTCTCTCTCTCTCTCTCTCTCTCTCTCTCTTTTTTACTGCGTGTCCCAGCTGGCTGGTGTGTCTTTTTAGATAGGCAGAGTCTGTGTGTAGAGGTGTGCGTGTGTGTCTGTCTTGTCTGTCTGTGTGATTTGTATGGAAGAGAGTGGATGCTTGTGTGTTTGGAGAAAATGAGCATGTGTTTGTCAAGGAACATGATAGAGAGCAAGAAAGAAAGAGTGTGTGTGTGTGTGTGTGTGTGTGTGTGTGTGTATATATGTTTTGGTGTGTCCATACATAGTGTGTCTGAATGGTGTTCAAGGAAGGTGCTATTCATCTCTTGAGGTCTGCATGGTGAATCCTTATGTTTCTATAATCTTAGAAAATATGTCCTTGCCGAAGGCTGAACGGCACAATGGTCTGCTTACTATCAGCAGTCAAAACTCAACAGGGGACAACAAAGTGCCTTCGTATTCTGTTCTGGAAAAAACAACAACAACTAATTCCATACATTTTTAGAAAGATAAACTAACTTATGACTGACTGCCTTAAAGGGATAGTTTACTAAAAAATCAAAACCATCATTTACTAACCATTGTGTCACATCAAAACTGTATGACTTTCTTCTGCAGAACACAAAAGATAATTTGAATAATTTGTATTGTCCATACAATGAAAGTCAGTGGGGTCACGCCATAAGTAAATTATGACAACATTTTCATTTCTGTGTGAACTCTTTAAGAGTAAAACCCTAGTTGTAATAAACAAAGGGAATGATATTGTGTCCTAGAGCGAAATTAGATTTACAATAAAAATGAATGAGTTGTCTTTTGATAATCTTTCACTTTTTACTTCTTTTATTTATTTTTGAAGATAAATTTAAGAAAACTCGCATTTTCAATGTTAAACTGTATTAGGCTTCAAATCTATTAAAAGGTAAAAGCAAAATACAAATTGATAGCAAAGCTTTATCACATCAGAGTGAAACTACAGCCCTCATGGCAGCATTTTCATAAAAAATACTACAACATCATAGTATCTCTTTTCCACTGGCCCAAAAAAGCCATTAAGAAAGCTGTCAGAAAAGTGGACTACTGCCCCCTAAAGGAAGGAGTTTGAATTGTTGCAGCATTCAGGTTATTGAAACTTCAATTATAAGGAATGATCACTCAAAGCAAAACTGGGATCTCTTAGGAATAAATAAACACTTCTATCTCACAAAAAAATAAAATAAATAAAATAAAACTGTTTATGAACCCTCCATACTGTATACATATGAAAACTACAGAGAAACAATAGGAGGTCCTCTTGAATCTGTGAGTGTATGCGAAGAGAGCTGCAAACTGAATTTTCTCACAATAGAATTAGCATAATACTCATCAGAAAAGGGCAAAGTAGAAACAACTAAGCGAAAAAGAGAGTAAATGAGAAACTCAGTGACCCAAACATGACTGAGCTTAGACTGTCAGCATGTGTCATCTGTGCCGGGCTCATTCTGTGTGACGGCTAAAACATAACTGGGGAGTAGATGTAAACAAAGGTGCTCATCAGCAGTAACCACTTAGCATGTATTCCACCATTATCATTATTCATCTCTGAGGCATAACGTTCATGTGTGGGAGATTTCAGAAGTGATTATCGTGACCAGGTTTGTGCAGTCATTGGTAGACTATTAGTCTTAAGCTCAAGCCGTATCCAGCGCTGGTTTGGCATCAGATCTGCAATAGCTTTTGCTGCCCGCATGTTTTTCTTCAACGTGGGAACCGTCAGACCATAGAGAGTCTGCCTTTGGGTTTATAAGGTTCTTTCATTCAAGCGGCTTGAGCGCAATGCTCATTCCTCTTTTCCTACAGTTGGCCCATCTCTATCTCTAGCTATCTCTTCTAGTGCCGCTGCATCCCTCGTTCCCTCCTCTCCCTCTCAGCCTGTTTTTGCGCGCTCTGTTCGTTATCTAACCAAACCCAACGGATTCTTCTCAGTACTGCTAAGAGAAAATCAGTTTGCTTTTTTTCCTTCTCCTCTTTTTCTTGTCTAGGTCCCCACTGCCTCGCTCCGCTGCTCACCAGTTCTCCACCCTCCCTTCCTCCCTCTCCCTCCCTCTCCCTGCTTTCGCTGGCTCTGCTTTCATTCTAACCTCCCCCTCCTCTTCCCTCAAGGGAATAAAGGTCATTGCGCAAATGATTACTCAGACCTCGGTAGCCATGGAAACGCGGTCATGTGACAGGGACAGGCATGCATCGAGCACAACAAAGGAGCCGATTAGTAAGCCAGCGATGGAAAGCTAGCGCCTGCCTTTGTGTGCCTGCGTTCTCAGTATTTCGCTCTATCTCTCCCTTTCTCTTCCTACGTGTTCGACTTGCTGGGGGAGGGAGGGAGGGAAGGAGCGGGTAAAAGAAAGCCTAGCATGCTGCTTCTACAAGCGCTTTGTTTAAACTAGCGGTTTGTCTTTGGGTTGTTCATTAGAGATTAACGCTGACATTTCAGTGCGTTTGCACATGTTTAATGCATCCGTTAGACAAAAGAAGTGTGTCCTAAATTTTAGACCCCAATTGAGAAAGCCGCTTCATTGTGAATTAGGTGAATTCATTGTAGAAGGTGACGTTATTGATACACTAATGATCATATAACTACTTTTAATCATAGTCCCTTTCAAGGAAGGTCAGTTGACTCGGCGGCCATATTTGAAGTGCCTCCGGGCAGCTATTTTGGGCATGCAAGACCAACTGCTATCTATTTGAAAGGGGAAATAACTGTTGCCAAACTCACATTTAAATATTGATTGACTCTTTTATTTAGAAAATATTACAAGAGCTGCCCTGAAGTTGCCATATTGCGCGTTGCAGTTTCTCCTATTCGTACCAATACAAGATCACTGTCTGGGTAGTACTAGCTAAAAGTTTTCGTTATTTCCTCCCTATTTATAAATTCTGCACATATGTAGCGATAGAAATTAAAAATAGCATAAAAGAAATGAGTTTAAAGACACGTTTGTTTTACATTAGGTAAAATTGTCGAATTAAGCCAAAGCCATCCTTCAAGTGAATTCTGTTAAAGGAAAACGTCGACTTTTTGGGACATTAGCTTATTCACCGTATCCCCCAGAGTTAGATAAGTCCATACATACCCTTTTCATCTCCGTGCCTGCTGTAACTCCGTGCGTGCAGAGAGTTCGCTCAGAGTGTTGCGATAATCACTCCGCCCAAGTAGCAGTGCTTCGCCTTCTGAGAATATAGTATGTATACGGTTAAAAGATGCCTGTGTCTCATATGACCTTGTTATTTGTACTGTGAAGATGGAAAATGTTGGCGTTATTTTGTCACTTATTGGGAGCAGTATCTTAGCTGGAGCCATTTACTTCCAGTCTTTGTGCTAAGCTAGGCTAGCGGTGGGTGCGTCAGACAGAGTTACGGCACGCACTGAGATGAAAATGGTATATATGGACTTATCTAACTCTGGGGGATACGGTGAATAAGCTAAAGTCCCGAAAAGTCGGCGTGTTCCTTTAACAAAATGTTATTCAGTCCCAATGAGGTAGTAAGTGAAAATACTGCCCCCTAGGTGCAGTTTTTCTTCTATAGTAAATAGTCTAATCTACTTTTCCTTGTCATATTTACTCATAATGTAAAATGCACAGAAAGTTAATGTACTTGTTCTCTCAGCACACTAACATACAAAAAACTGTTTTAGAGAAAGACAGCAGGGTGCCTTCCCTCAGAGGGGAACGTCAGACTTTTGGTATCTTTTCTCATTGTCAGTGGTGGCTTTATTTAAATGAAACTGTCAAGGCTTTGAAACTCACACCAGCTTATCTAATATGAGTTACCTGCAGTTAATGAACTCGAGCCAACGGAAACCAATTAAACATTGAAAATTATTGTGAGCTTCTGGAAGTCCTGTAAGCCTGTAAAAGGCATAAATCAACCCTTTAAAGTGCACTTACAATTCACTCTACAAAGTAATCTCACCAATTTCATTCAATTTTCTTCTAATTTAAAAAAAGTCACATGCACATAACATAGCCTAAAATCTGTCTCTAAATGTAATGTTTTTATTAGCTTGATGCAAAGTTAGATTTCTTATGCTAGCTTTGGATGTGTCCTGTTCCAGTTTCAACTGAGGTTCTGTAAAATATTTTGTTGCTTGTTGCATATTTTGCAACAAGTGTTTTTAAAAGTGTTTTTTGCTGAAGCAACCATGCTATTTTAGCTTGCTTTCTACAAGTCTTTGAGCTCTTTTACTGTGACTCATGTTTCATGGGACTCGTATCCAAGCGCTCCTCATCGCAAGTGCAGTGCTGTACCAGGTGGTATACTAAGCAAGTTTACTTCGTCAGAAAAATGTCCAACTGTATTAG